ACGTTTTGAGTTTGATATCGACGATAAATGTGTGCTTTGTAATGACTCGATGGAAACTAGAGATCATTTATTAATTCAATGTCCTCTGGCTATTTCTCTATGGGATGCGGTTATCATTCTCAATGGCATGCGAAGGACATCATGTTCATGGGGAAATCACTTAGCTTGGGCTTGTGATGTTTGGAAAGGTAGATCCTTGCTCTCTACCATTTTGAAATTAGCTTGGACATCATTTATTTACACTGTTTGGGAGGAGAGGAACAAGAGGCTATTCCAAGGATGCTCACGAAATTTTGAAGCATTGCTCCATGCTGTTAAACACTCTGTTGCTATCCAACTAAGGGGTAGAAGTATTAATAGGAATGATAGTGTTAATACTACACTTTGTAATCAATGGTGTATAGATTAGCTGATATTTTGTTCTACTTGTAAGTAGATACTCTTTGTATTCTTGAACAGGCTGTATTTTATGCATATCCTGCTCTTTGGGTAATAAAAATCGAATTATCCACACACAAAAACTTTGGTACAATAAAAAGATTTGATAATTATTTGTTTAATGTTTAAATTTAATAAAAAAACATAAATTAATTTGATAATCAGGGATCATATAACTTAATTTCTTTATAGAAAATATTAGAATTGTTTTAGAATTTGTTTTTTTAAATATATGAGTCTCGTTAAAAACACTTTCTACTAACATAAGGTTAAACTCATATATTTTTTTTTAAATATATGAGCGTCGTTAAAAACACTTTCTACCAACATAATGTTAAGATCCTATCAGAGAAAAAGAGTGTCCAACTATCCATTAATCTTAATCAAGATGATAACAAATCATTCTTTACATCAGTATCGAGGAACTCGGGATAATCGGTCCAAAAAAGAAGAAAACATTGGAATCAAATGCACGTTTAGCCAACCTATGAGCCACTTGATTCACATCTCTACGAACATAAAATACTATACAACTATTGAAACTATTACAATTTGAACAAATAGGTTGCATGTGAATTCCTAACGTAGATTCGTTAATTTCTCCACTATTGAACTTATTAACCACCATAGTTAAGGATGGGCATGGGACCAAAATCCGACGGGTTTCAACTTGACCCGACTCGATCAGGTCGGGCTTTTAAAAAAATATTCGGGTTCGGGTAGAATTTTTTTAAAAAAAGTGGTGTTCGGGTCGGATTCAGTTTTAGGGTGAAAAACACCTGACCCGAAAAAATATAATTTTACCTTTTATATTTAGAAATAATTATAATAATACCTCTCTATATTATTTTTTAAATTAAATTACTGTTTTTATTGAATAAAAATAATATTTTTTTATTATTTAAGGTCGGGTCGGGTGGATGATATATATTATGCGGGTCGGATTTCAGGGGAGGAGTCATTGTTCTCGGGTCGGGTGGACCAAAAATCCGACCCGACCCATGCCCATCCCTAACCATAGTGGAATTAAGCTTGATGATGATATTGTCACCCTACTTCCAAAGTTCTATTGACAACAGCAGTAAGACTATGCAATTCAGCAAGCCCCAAATCGAAACAGCCAGCAAACTTAGTAGCCAAGTCACCTAGAACTGCTCCTGTAATAAGTCTTGAGATGAGATTGTACGCACCATCAGCATTCAAATTTATTATCTCATCGAGAGGAGGAGACCATTTATCTAGTGCACATATAGGATGCAATGAAGGGTTAGCCAAACATTGTACAGCAAGGAAATAGTGATGAATAGCCCTAGCATTAGCAACGATCATCCAAGGAGGTTGCAAACACTCATCGTGAATTAAGACATTAATCTTATATCGGAAAAGAAAAAAAATTTAAAATATACAAACGGTGACGCATAAAAGAGGATAATAATCTCGTGACACGTATACTTTCGAGGCTCGTATATCAAGTAGTGCAATTTTTGTTGAGGAAGGAGATGATAAGCTCATTCACCTGCTCTGGTAACTGCTCTTGAACAAAGTGATTCCCTTCTGGCAGATAAGTTATGTCCAGATTAGGCATAAACTGCTTCACTATCCCTTTCCTAATGTAGTCCTCAATCCCTGGAAATTTCATAAAATAGTCCTTCTCCCCCATTATCAGCAACGACGGAGCTGACACTTTCGGATTCCTCACGCCATAATCCATTTGAAAGCACCTGTAGGGAACCTGCAATGCGGTTCTGAAACCGGAATTCCGGTACAACGTAGCATAGGCATCGAGATCGTCGTCTGTGAACCACGGTGGCAACGGGGTCGATGGATCGACCAAGTCCATTATCTCCTCGTCGTCGGCGGCTACTTGTAGCTCACTTCTGCAGAAGAGGATGTAAATGTTTCTTATGACGATCTTAACATCGAATCGACCGAAATCCGCCTCTGCTCGTCCCGGTTCCTGCAGTTTGTTCATTGATTTCATGTCACAATCGAGCATATGTCGTTAAACGGTCGTCGAAAGAAGGTAATATTACCGCCCATCGTAAACCATAGAAGCCTTTCGGGAGGAGATCGTATTGGATACCGACCGGACCGGGTATGAGAAAAGGAGTGCCGAGTGTTATCACACCCGACACCCTTTCAGGGTGGATGACAGATACCATGAATGCAGGCACTGTTCCAAAGTCCTTCGCCACAAGAAAAACCTATACGTTTTCTCACATGGTTAATGCTAATTCACATTTGCAAGTAGCTTAATAATTTGTGAGAAGATAATGATAAATATAATGATCGTATGTATAATAAAACAAACATTAAAATAGTACGTGATTTTTCTTTTAAATTTACATGTAGAAAAAAAGAAAATTTACTAATGTCGAACGAATAAGAATACAAAAGAAATCTTCATGCGTAACCTAATCAAACTAAATTTCCTAATTTCCTCAATTTTCTCTTAATTTATATCTTCATTCTATGTTGCATTGATACGTATACAAGAACATATACATAGACATGAAACGGCAACTTCTAAATTTACATGATACGAGTATAGAAAATATAAATAAAATTTAAAATTCGTAATTACTATAAAATCACATATCAAATTAGTGTCTAATTTTATGTTTGTACAATCATCATTAAAATAAATATATCTTAAATTTTTCGACATCCGATGAATACAACTTAAGATGCATTAAAAAGATAATTGAAGACGATTCATATGTAAGATGACATCTCAATCAAAAAATACATAAATCTTATAGGCTTCAAAATCAACTTTAATTTTTTATTCAAATTCATCTTTTTTTTATTATTTTAAGTTAAATCTAAAAATAATCTTAAATACGCGTGTGAAGATTAAATGTCATCCCCGATATATCTCTAAAATCTATCTGACGTACCCAACGAATTTTAATTGTCTCCCTTCAATATGGGACATCCCCGATGTATACTCAAATTATACTCTTCCAGTACTCAACTAGAGACGTGTTAGATACCTAAAACGGTATTAGATCACTATACCGTGTAACATAATCTTTACTTATCGAGTTAGATCAAATTCGGGTTAAAGTCTATATTTAATTGTCTCTTTCAATATGGGACATCCCAACATATACTCAAATTATACTTATCCTGTACTCATGTCCACTCAAATTATACTTATCCTGTACTCATGTCAGGGACGATTAGGTACTTAGTACGATATTAAATTATCGAGTCAAATCAAATTCGAGTTAAAGTCTAACATGAACTCGTGAAGTAACGGTTACCTTATCGATGCCGAACGAGTCGAGAAGCGCGACCACGTCATCAACAAGGTCCTTGAAGTTAGCCTTTTCCGGCTCCGGTGGATGGTCCGAGAGACCATAGCCCCTAAAATCAAAAGCTACGGCTCGGAAGCCGGCGTTAGCGACGGCAACCATCTGGTGCCTCCATGAGTACCAAATCTCCGGGAAGCCATGGAGAAAAGAACCACCTTGGGACCTGCATAAGATTATCACCATTAATATTGCAGAAAAATGGAACATATGGTCAATGGATGTGAGATGATTATCAAACCTGTTCCGATCTGCGCAACGTGAAGCTTTAACCCTCGAACTTGAACATGGCTGTGCTCAATCTTCTCCATTGACAGACTGGGAAAGAGAATGGAGGGGTGAGAATTGGGATGAGATTAGCGGAGTTTACAAAGAGGGATGATGTTGAGATCTTATCCACTGGCTATTAAAATTAATAAAATATCATTAAAATATAATTCCATCTCCATTTGATGATTTGGGTTTTGTTGGCATCTCATCGTCTTTATGTTGAGTATCTTTTAGGGTTTACCTGCCCATTTTCGTACCAAAAGACAAGGATGGGTTTCTCTACAAGCATTCAAATTCAAGGAGCACAACGATAAGGAAGGGACGTAGATATTTATGTTAACAAAGATGAATTTGAACTATAGAATTTTAAGGGAAAAATTTAAATTTATAAATTTTAGGGAATAAAAATAAATTTTCAATAGAAAATATATATAAAAAAATATAAAATATATGATGAGTGTAAATTTAAAAAAAAAAGGCCATCCCTACCCAACTCGTCTAAGTCCATTCATGTCATCAAGATATGTCAAGTTCTTATATATTCACATCTTAGTTTTAAAAGGGGAGGGAGTTGTGACCCTTCAATTTTCATTGTTTTTAATTTAATTTTATTTATCTAAATTTCAGGGATTGATCTGTGAAGCTTTAAAAGTTTTAGGGTAGTTTTAAAATTTTGAGGCATTTCAAGGGCTTAATCCTGCATTTGCTCATCCATTTCAGCAAAGGAAAAAAAAGGAAAAAAAAAAAGGTGAAGTGTGACTACCAGGCATGGCCATCTATGCTCTAAAGTTGGCTCTTACGTTCAATGGGCCTCGAGTAAATCTTTATGAATGCAATTTAGGGAAATTACATATAATGTTTGAGGCCTTGAAAAGGTAAAAGACATTAATCTTATATCGGAAAAGAAAATTTAAAATATATAAACAGTGATACATAAAAGAGGATAATAATCTCGTGACACGTATACTTTCGAGGCTAAGTAGTGCAATTTTTGTTGAGGAAGGAGATGATATGCTCATTCACCTGCTCTGGGAACTGCTCTTGAACAAAGTGATTCCCTTCTGGCATACAAGTTATGTCCAGATTAGGCATAAACTGCTTCACTGTACCTTTCCTAATGTATTCCTCAATCCCTGGAAATTTCATAAAATAGTCCTCCCCCATTATCAGCAACGACGGAGCCATAACTTTCGGATCCGTCACGCCATAATCCATTCGAGAGCGCCTGTAGGGAACCTGCAATGCGGTTCTGAAACCGGAATTACGGTACAACGTCGCATAGGCATCGAGATCGTCGTTGGTGAACCACGGTGGCAACGGGGTCAATGGATCAACCAAGTCCATTATCTCCTCGTCGTCGCCGGCTACTTGTAGCTCACTTCTGCGGAAGAGGATGTAAATGTTTCTTACCACGGTCTTAACATCGAATCAACCGAAATCCGACTCTGCTCGTCCCGGTTCCTGCAGTTTGTTCATCGAATTCATGTCACCATCGAGCATATGTTGATAAACGATCATCGATAAGAATATAAGTACAGACACATACGCATGAAATAGTAATCTCTAAAATTGCATGATACGAGTGTGATAAATATAAATAAAATTTAAAATTCGTAATTATTATAAAATCATGAATCACACTAGTATCTAATTTTTGTTTGCACAATCTTTGTTAAAATAGGTATATCTTGAGTTTTTGATGTTCGATTAAAGTAGTTCAAGATGCATTAGAAAGGTACTTGAAAAATGATTCATGCGTAAGAGGACATCTCAATCTAAAAATACATAAATCTCATAGGCTTCAAAATTAACTTTAATTTTTTATTCAAATTCATCTTTTTATTATTATTATTTTTAAGTTAAATCTCAAAAATAATCTTGAATACACGTGTGAAGATTAAACGTCATCCCCGATATATTCCTAAATATCTCTCTGACATACCGAACTAATTTTTATTGTCTCCTTTCAATATGGGACATCCCTAACATATACTCAAATTATACTCATCCCGTACTCATGTCAGGGACGTATTACGTACTTAGTACAAAATTAAATCGTCTTACCAATGTAATATAGTTTTCATTCATCGAGTTAAATCAAATTTGAGTTCAATCTAACATGAACTCGTGAAGTAACGGTTACCTTATCGACGCCGAACGAGTCGAGAAGTGCGACCAAGTCATCGACAAGGTCCTTGAAGCTAGCCTTTTCCGCCTCCGGTGGATGGTCCGAGAGCCCCTAAAATCAAAAGCAACGGCTCGGAAGCCGGCGTTAGCGACGGCAACCATCTGGTACCAAATCTCCGGGAAGCCATGGAGGAAAAGAACCACCTTAGGACCTGCATAAGATTATCACCATTAGTATTGCAGGAAAATGGAACATGTGGTCAATGGATGTCAGATGATCATCAAACCTGTTCCGATCTGGGCAACGTGAAGCTCTAATCCTCGAACTTGAACATGGCTGTGCTCGATCTTCTCCATTGACAGACTGGAAAAGAGAACAGTGATGGAGGGGGTGAGAATTGGGATGATACTAGAGGAGTTTACAATGATGACCTTGTGATCTTAACCACTGGCTATTAAATATCATTAAAATATAACCCCATCTACATTTGATGATATGGGTTTTGTTGGCATCTCACCATCTTTATGTTGAGCAACTTTTTAGAGTTTACCTGCCCGTTTTCGTACCAAACGACAAGGATGGGTAGCTCAACAAGCATTCAAATTCAAGAAGCTCGACGATCAGGAAAAGACGAACTTAAACTTATAAAATTTTAAAGAGACAAATATAAACTTATATATCTATCCGTTTCACCAACATTCCGATAACCATTCGCCACCGGCATCAATCGATGCCGCCATGAATGCCATATAATGTCTTGAAACTCATGCAGAGATACCGCTGAGGGACTTGCTAAAAGATTGGTTCACTAGCTGAGGAACCAAGCAAGTTGAATCTAACATCATGCTTGATTCTAAGATCCAGAAAGTAAATCTTAACCAAGTAAAACAAAAGTGAAACACAAACATGTTACTTTCCATCTATTTACGATAATTGTCTGAAGAATTTCAAGAGAATTCTAACATAAAGTCTCTTAATTTAGCCTTTAAAAATCAATTAAAAATAAATTTTTTATTCATTTTAGGCCAAAAAGCCTAAATTGCCATTAATGAATTCTTAAATTTACTCTCATGTCAATCTTTCATCTCCATTTTAATATTATTAAATAACTATAAAAATCTCATCTCTCAAATTTTCTTTTTGACGCTCTACTTTTTCAAAATTTCATTTTAATCACTAAATTGCACTATCCTACTTTATAGTGCAATTCTCATCAAATTACACCAATCCAACTTAAATTCCACTAATTAAAAGTATCCATATAATTTTTATAACCGAAAATTACATTCCTTCAAATTTTTGTAGACTTCCAATCCAAATATTCTTCCGATCTTTGTCATTTAATAAACTTTTATATACTCTATGGATCAAAAATCTAAAACCCACTAAAATAATTGCCTTTGTCTGAACTACTTGTTTACGTATGCAAATATAAATTTTGAAAATTTACATGTTTAATCCCTATACTTTTACAACTTTACACTTTGGTTCCCAACTTTCAAATTTTTTACATTCCAGTCATTAGTCCGAAATTTGGGATATTATAGCAAAAATTTCCATGCTAATTCCACTTAGAATCTTATTAGTATAAACTTTTATTAAAGTTGGACATAAAATTTTATGGTATGGGATTTTTTTTTATTTCGAAGGAAGACTGTGTCAAAAGTGAAAGAAATATATGTCACATTTTTCTATTAGAAATTTACTGGATGAAAATTTCTTAGTTTACAGGTTAGACTATATCACCTTTTTCTAGTAGAATGTCATTTTCAAATAGTAGTAGGATAAAAATTTTGTCCATCGAACTTTATATGCATGGACTAATCAATTATATTTTCCTTAAAACCAAAAAAGGTTATGGTACCGTTGACGGGATGCTTCTGAGAACCATAAATGGAATTTCTAGCAAAAATTTTGTTTTGTTATAAATATAGAATATGTGGTAACTTTTAAGATCTTTTAAAATTGATGATTTGAGGGTTAAGTTTATTTTAATTTATTAAAATTAGGATCAAATTGATAGAATATAAGTAACAGTGACCAATGTATAATTATACCTTTGAACACCCCTACTCACGGTACTTAGACTTAACGGGTCGGGAGACATGTCGAAATTTTTATACCTTAAAATCTCGGGTATCCATTATTTCGAGTATCCAAAAATGTGGGTACACGATTTTGAACACCCCTAGTAACAACAGATTGAGAGAGTATTCGGAGGTAGCTATCATTTTAAAAAATTTAAATTATCATATATTTTAAATATTTTTTATATTTTATATTGATCATATAGTTTTGGTCGATCATGATTGATGGTCTAATTTAATTCCGAAAATATAAAAAAATATTAATTTAATCTTTAATAAAAATCAACAATTTTTTTTATTTTCCTCTAACGACCCATCATAAATATAAATGATAAAACAGAAGAATATCGTAAAATGCAGTTATACGTACCGAAAATGGGGGAATTTTGTTTGTATGGTATTATTACACTACCTATAAAGAAGAGTGCGATGGGTGAGCAAGATATTTATTACTAATTTCTTTCCTTGAAAAATCCAATAAATAAGATGAGAGGGCATTTTCAATCATTTTTTTTTGTTGTCCTCTAGTTCCTAGGTTTCGTCATGATTAATTTGAACCGGGTCGTATATCTGGTTTTGATGGGTGAATCTCCCAGTGCGGATTTTCTGCATACTCAAGGGCTCGAACATGATACTTTGCTTAAGGGATATTAAACTACTTACCACTACAACCAACCCTCGTTGGTTAATTATGATTTTTTTAATTATCAATATTTAGTATATTGATCGATTTTACAAAATTTATTATCATAGTGATCATCTAAACTCAATTTATTTTCTTTTTAAATGTTAGGATTTAAACCTACGATCTTATTTAAAAAATTAATATTTTATTTCATTAAATCAATTAATTATTGATAATTTAACTATGATTTTATTGGTATATATACATAATGTGTAGTAGTGTAGTGGTCGCCAAATTAGCCCATTGTTTCTAATTGCAGTGGCTGCCAAACTAGCCCATTATTGGTATATATAATTTTATGTTAAAGTTAGATTTATAAAATTTTAAGAGAATATAAATAAATTATTAATAAAAAATATTTAAAATATACGAGCACGAACTAAATAATTTTAGTGATTAAAAGATTTATTATTATTTTTAAAGTCCGTTAAAGCTCGATTGATGACAAACACTATATTAGAGAACGCGTCCAGTCAATAGAAAAATGGAATGGTGAAAATATTTATATTAATCTATCAATATCATGTTTAATGGTCAAATAATAATTTTTTATTTTTTTTATAAAATTGTATAAAAATGTATAAAAGGTTGAAAACACCCATATAATAATATTAAATATCTTTTAAGAAATGATTTTTAAATAACAAAAGATATAGTTTCTGGAGCCTACTTTCTTCCTATAAAATATTTTCTACTTTAAAGCTGGCCTCTCTCTTAAAAGGGTTGCTTCAATGTGCCTAAAATATGACGTTCCCACGTATTTCGCCGTGCCCAATTAATAGCACCTATCACTATCGATGACCATGGAACTCGAATTCGATCAGATCTAATATGATCGAGACAGATTTTTTTAAATGTTTAGGTTTGGGTTGGGTCAAGTTAGATTTTTTTTAAAATGTTCGGGTAGGATCGAGTTCAGATTTAGGGTGAAAAAAATCTGACTTTACTCGAAAAATAATACAAATTTACCTTATATATTTAGGAATATTACAATTATAATGCTCTATATATTATTTTTCAATTAGAGCCATATTTTTTTGAATAAAAAAATATTTTTATAAATATATTTATTTCGGGTCGAGTTCAGGTTTTATCACAAAAAATTAGGTTGAGTTCAAATCAGATAAAATCACCCCTACACTCAGGTCAAATCGAATTCCGGATGAAGAATATATAATTTTGGGTCGATTCGGACTGACTTAAAACTCGACTCGTCCCTACTCATGCCCATCCTAATGATGGGCATGGGACACGTATCCGACGGGTTCCGACCCGAATCGGGTCAAGTCTTTTAAAAAAATCAGATTCAGGTCGGATTCGGGTTTAGGATGAAAAATATCCAATCCGACTCGACCCAAAAAATATAATTTTACCTTATATATTTAGAATAATTACAATAATACCCTTATATATATTATTTTTCAATTAAACCATTGTTTTTATTAAATAAAAATAATATTTTTATTATTAGGGTGGGTCGAGTTAGACTAGGTTCAATTTTATCTCAAAAAATCGGTTATGATTCAGGTCGGGTGGAGGGTATATATTTTTCGGGCCGGGTGAAGGATATAAAATTTTGAGG